GCCTCGAGAGTGCCTATAAACACTTGTGAGGAGCCCAAATGTTTTATTTGATACTCTTTTTTTTTTTTATCGTTAATGGAGCTTTAAGCCCGTGTCTTCTATTGAACCCAAGATCTCTTGGATCTCAGTCACGATGCTCTTTTTTTCAAGGGTTAATACTACGAAAAATCCTAAACTAGTACACCTATGATAATTTTACCCCAAACTAATTTTTTGACCACAAAAATCTCCAAACTGGTACATCTGTGACAAATTTACCCTAAATTTATTTCTGTTAAATTTTACAGTCAAATTACTTTGTTAAATGATACGTGGTAGTTGACTGATGTGCCAGTTTTATGTTTTACCTTCCGTTTATCACAGATGCACTAGTTTGTAATTTTTTATGGTATTAATCCAATTTAACGGAAACTAACGGAGGGTAAATTTTTCACAAATGTACCAGTTTGGGGTTTTTAGTGGTCAAAATATTACTTTGGGATAGAATTATCATAGATGTACTAGTTTGAGGTTTTTGGTGATCAAAAAATTAGTTTAACCCTCTTTTCAAAGGGAAATTGGTTTGAATCACTTAAACGGTTTCATTTCCTATTTACTTATTTTTCTTTGCCACGGTTGCTTCTTATCGCAATATTCTCAACTATATATATGCTTACAATCATAATTCGCAATTTCTTGGTCAAAATATATGCAATGTATACGTGTATAGTCATAATTGTAGATTTATTTATCATTTAAATAAAAAGTACATGCCTTTTTTAGAATAATGACACAACAATACGTAATTTTTTCTTAGAGTGCAATTCGGTAACTAAGCTCCTCCTTATTCATTTAAGTAAGCATCTCAATTTCGAAAGTTTGAGATATTTAGTCGAATAGAAAAAACAAATCGAGGGGTCAAATTGCAATAAAAGGAAATATATACGTATTCGGGGTCGATCATTCCTACTTTTTTTAAGCATGAGCTTTGAAAATGTTTTTTTTCTACCAACCTGGAAAACAATCCCGAGGGTACGATTGGTTGGCGGGACAATAGATGAGATTATTGTTGTGGTGGTTGTCCTTGATAGGTAGCCATTGCAATGGTGGTCGCCTCGTTGACAGACGACCACCTTGGTGGTTGTTGCCTTTAAACAAGTAGCCATCGTGACGATGTTCGCTTGTGCAGGTCGAGATCAAGATTGAGATCTAAATCTTGATATGGTTTCCCATGTTTATGTCGTGGTTGCTGGTAGAATTCCACATTGATTAAAATGCTTGGTTATAATGTGCCCTTTTTTTCATGCATTCTCCTTCAACCACATTTAAGTTTTTGGGGGTAGCGATTCTAACATTTATTCAGATCCTGGATTAATAATTCAGATCCTGGCACCCCAATTGGCACACACAAAATAGGAAAATGTCAATTTCACAATAGTCGAGCCAAGTCAAGCACATGTAAGAGAGGGATTTATATGCAAGGGTGAGTGTTAGTATAAAACCATGTCGCTTAAATATGTTATTATAATGTACCTTACATATATGTAGTTACACGATGTGTGATTATATTAACAGCCGTGGCCCAAGGCAACCAGTGCGACAAATGTGACTACCACCCCGGTGGATGATCGGGTTTAACCATCGTGATGGCAGTGGCTCGCTGTAGTCAACGACCCACAATTCCCTCTCCTAGTTTTATATTATGTTCTTGATGTTATGAAGTAAATTTTTTTATTTTTCTTTTTATTTTGTATGGATTATATCCGACATCATATCCCATGTTTTACCAAGCAAAAAATAGATTATAACAATTCCTCACATTTTTTTATGCTAACATTTTTATCATGTCCTAATCATTGTCTTATGATCAAATACAGTAAAAAAATAGAGTATTTGCTAAATTTACTTCTCTGCACTTTTATGACTTGCCGGTTGCAAGTTACTTGCCAAAGAGTAACTTGTGGTCCAAAATCCACCGTCATCTCTAAGAATGACCCAACCGTTACCGTAGCCGTGCTCTTTTGTTAGCTTAATCTTTTACATAAATACTTTGGGCCAATTCCAAAAAAAAAAGCACGAACTTTGGGTTTAGTCCTAAATCTGGCCCGAACTTTATTTTATCTAAAAAAAAATCACTAACTTTCATTCGTGTCCCAAATCTGGCCCCGTTAACTCTCCATCCACCCTCACCGTTAGTCATCCCACGTGGCATTTCCACGTCAACAATAATATCCACGTCAGCAATTAAGGCACAAATACATATACTGATGTACACCTGGGCGCTTTCTCTTCTTCATCTCCTTCCCACGATTTTCTCTTTAGGGTTTTCTTTCTTCTTTCTTCATCTGATACGCGAGCGACAGGCTTCGATTCGTCCGAAGATCTCGCGCGCTCTCCCTCGCGCGCACATCCTCTCACACGAAGTGACTCGCTCTCACGCTCGGCCGTTTAGAGACTTGTTTCCGTCGGGAATTTTGAAGATTTTGTGCGCGTTCGATCAAGATCAAGCGAGCAAAATCTAGCGCGCTTGGTCGCTCAGAGACATCAACTCGTCTGAAGAGCGAGCGCGCGAGATCTTCGCGCGCTCGCTCGCTCGCTCATCCTCTCACACGGAGTCGCTCGCTTTCGCACATACTCGTGCTCGTTCGCTCGAAGGATGCTCGCTTAAGGGTCGAAGCGGACAGAGCGTTGAAGTCATTGAACAAAAGGTATTCTTCTTCTTCTTCCTCCTATGCATTTGGACATATTAAATTACGATCACCATATGCTTGATAATCTGTCTAGAAGTGATTTAACTCGCAGAATCTGAAGTCAGTGCTCCATCCGTTGTTGCATCTGAGTATAGTTAAACATTTTCATGTAAATGTGGAAGACTAGGAGAGTTATAATGCTCTTAGTGAAGATGGAACAACAGTCTCTTTGAACACTCTTTCGGTCAGCAAGGATGCCAAATACTTGGCTTATGTACTTAGTTCCAGTGGAAGTGATTGGGTGACGATTAATGTTATGCGGGTCGAGGATAAGAAAGTTGAGCCTGATAAATTATCATGGGTGATGATTTGGAATTTGGCTTCCTTAATGTAAGGCTACATTCGATTGAAACTTAGACGAGTGGTCATACTGGTGACAGGTTAAATTTTCATCTATCAATTGGACCCATGATGGCAAAGGTTTTTTCTACAGCCGCTACCCAGCTCCTAAGCAAGTACCCACAACAATTTTAAAACACCCGTCGAAATGCTAGATGATTGAAATGGATGAGGAAATTAGGAGCCATAACTTATTTTTTCTTTAAAGTTTCTAATCAATAAGCTGTTGTTTTGTGAAACATTTTTCCTAATGTGAAGTGTGTCATAACTGCTTATTATGCCGTACAATTACCAAAGCTATCGTTGTCTTACTAGGTATTTAATTAGTGTGATGAGTTCAACATTGAACTTCAAATGTCCAATTTTTTATTATACTTTCTTTATAGGATTGGGCCGGTTGGGGTTCCAGGTCACCATTGTTTTGCTCGTGGAAAATTGAAGTGTTGTAGGTTGAACAAGAAACAATGGTGAGTTCATTCAATTGTTGGCCTTTTACGTTTAAATATTTTTTTTAGTTTTCAGCGTCTGACTTAGTGTGCTTTTTCACAGAATGAAAGTGACAGTGACGATGGTTCATTAGAGTATGTCTTCAATATGAGCGAAGTAGTGAAGGTAAGAAATTGACGAAAGTTGGAGTTCAAATGCGATGTTCAAATCGCCTTCAATATGGACATAACAAGAAGACATGCAAGAATCCTACGACATCCAGACCACCCAAAGTATGTCTCATTGGACAATTTTGTAATTGTTGATAAGATTTTTGTTGGGTTATCACAAATGATATCATTGGTATTTCTTGTGTTTTTTCACATGTAGGCAAGAAGAGGAAGACCAAAGAAAGCTGATGGGGTTAGTGGTGCGCAAGCTAGTTCACAAGCCAATGGACCATCTAATGGGGACTCCATTATCATTAGGAAGGAGAGAGCACAGGCTAGTGCTTTATCAGGCAAAATTTTATTTTCATACCACGTGTATATTGTGATTAATGTTTTGTGCTCATTTTGTTTCTTTAGGCAAGACAAGGATATGGACTTTTCATATCTGAAGCTACTGAGAATTCCTATTTAAGGGTAATCTCTGTCTAACGTTTTATAAGTGTATCGAAAAGAAAAGCAAGTTCATATGTTTATTTTTTTTATTGCAGATGCCGGGTAGTAATAGAGTTATTGACATTGGAGGTCCATCCATTTCCAAGGGAAAAACAAGAGCAAGGAATGTTATTGAAGTTTCACTAGGCCAATCTTCCACTGATATCTCAGAACCTCCATGCACTCAAGAATCTGAAATTGGTGGTTAACTGTGAAATTGTGGACCAGAAAATGCTTGTGCAGTGCCTCCTACTAGATGTCGAGTTGTAGACAAAAATTGCTAGTTTTTTTGTTGTTTGTAAGTAGATTTGGCTATGCATTATGTGTTTGGGAATTTAGCGATGTCATTTTGTATATGTGATGTTTTGGCTGTGCACTATGTGCGCTGATTTGGAAAGCTTGCCACTCTGCTTTTGACTAAAACCATATGCACATGATTTGAAAGCTTCCATTAGACTCTGCTTCTCCACTCTGCTTTTCCTGTTCACCAGTTATGTGAGTTAATTCCTTGAGCAACTGATATCGACGTTAAGCTGAGATACTCCAGCATGATGTTACTGATGTCAAACTGGACGTCTTTTGACTGAAATCTTTCGTAGAAAAAATGAATGCATTGGATGGTTTCTCGAGCAATTGAAGAGGAAGGACAAGGTTACCTCTTTTTCTTTTTTTTTGGCTAGAAAGTGCATGATCTCCTGGCCTGATGGAACCAATCACAGTGAACCTTTTTCTTTCTTGTGGTTATGGACTTTGATGCATGCTTGATGTCAATTTAGCTTAGGCATGAGTTTAGATTGTCGCTCTGCTCATCCCCCAAAGCAATCAAACGCAATCGCAGTGACAATGGCTTCAAGAAAGAAGAGAATCCAACTTAAGCTGCAAAGCTTCTTAGTAGCATCATTCTGTTGTTCTATCTGTCCTACTATCACAATGTGTTTGGTTTACAATTCGAGAGAAAGTTCTCCAGACATTGTGAAACTAATGATTAACAATCAATTATCTACAATGTCTACAGGAAAGAGAGAGAATCAACTTAAACTGCAATCCTGAATGTCAAATTACACAAGAAACACGGCATTTTATGATCGATTGATCGACTTCATCTACTCGATCCAGGAAGCATCCAGCATCTTCGCCATGAAACCATAGAGATCGGCAGCTTCATCGATCTGCACCAAAAGAGAAGCCACGAAAAATCAACGACCGCGAAGGCACGTAATTTTCATTAACGTACTATGGTGTTAAATGAAAAGAGAGATTTTTACCATCCGGATATCGGTCCCATGGCCTCCTCACATTATGCAACGGCGAGTACCTAACAAGACATAAATCAGCAATTCCTGTTAATCATGGTAAATAAACAGATAAAACTTCTGGGATTAAAAGGAGCAATGTGAGGCCAAACAACATATGAGGGCCGGAAAAATCCCGGCGCCATGCAGATGCGGAGAGGTAAAAGTTTCCCAGAAGCGGGGCGGATAAAAGATTCTGTGTGTGCATCCAACGAGTTTATTCAGTCACCAATGAAACCAACGGCGTTCAAGTTCTTCCTACACAAAAGCATTGAACAGAGCTAAAACCTTAGGTAAAGGTGAAGGACAACTTACGTAATCAACCACTGGAATTCTTCCTCTTTGTCCGCACAACCAAAATCAGAAGTCCATGCATGCCCTGTGGTTGTATGAGACAATAAATAAAGTCACTGACAAATCACGAATGCACGACAAGCAAGTAGTGCGCGAATATGTTCACGCACACAGGGAGAGGGAGACTGACCAATAGTAAATTTGTGAAATCGCAGCATGTCCATAACACCAACATGAGCCAAAGCACAGCCGAAAAGATCAGGTCTCTGACAACAATCAAGCTTTAGATAAATATGGAGCTACCCAATCAAGCAAGCCAACAGAATCAACTGGTAGTTACAAAACCTGATTTATACAAAGCTCCAATAAGAAGTCTCCCATTGCTTCCCCCTTCAATGCACAACTTTTTGGGTTGGGTATAACCTGCAGAAATGAGGTACTGAGCAGCAGAGATGAAATCATCAAAGCAGTTCTGCTTTTCTGCCAAGGACCCTCCTTTGTGCCATTCCTCTCCATACTCGCCGCCACCATGAATGTTTGCTATGCAGAAAACAGCTCCAAAGTGTCTTGTGAGTACAGTACGACTGATGCTAAAGGATGGCGTGAGGCTAATGTTGAATCCGCCATAACCATATAACAAACATGGGTGTGATCCATCCAAAGAAATATTCTTTCTAGATACTATGAACATTGGTATCTTGGTGCCATCCTTACTAGACACAAAAACCTGAAAGTTGAATATAGTAAAACTAGTAAATATGACCATGCACCATTAGATGCGACTGTGGCAGAAGCTGTTAACATTCAACATAGCAATTTAACAGGAAACCCAATCCAACAGAAGTTGAAAAGTACAGTTATCATTGTGACCTCTATACAAAAGAAAAGGCGAGCACCAGGCAACAAAAACAGTTTCCAAACTCAAGAAAAGAACGTGGAGCTGATAGTGTTAACAAAATATCCATTACTGACAGGTGAACATTCTTATTTACCTGATTGACATGGAACTCTGAACGATCAAATCCAGAAACTACAATTTCACAGAAGATCTTCATATCTGGAACCTCATTCTGTAGATCACACTGATATATGATGCCAGGAGAAAGAAAACTAGTAAAGCCAATAAAGATGGTACTATCTTCACGCCGGCCAGATATACCATAAACTGTCCCAATGTCGATGGGCAATTGATGCAGCAAAGAACCTGGTTTTAAATCCCTTCTCTGCACCACGTATTTCACATCAATCAAATAACTCACTATCAGTTGGTTATGATTGACTGCAGAAGCCGATTGCAGCACATCCTTCTCAGCTTCTTTTATGACATTAGTCCAAATATGCAGGACATATGAGTGATGTAAAATAATACATGGTGTTACCAATTTTCACATTATCTTTTTTTTGATGACCATATTCCCAATTTTCACATTATCGATTGATATTAAAACACAAGTACTGTTTTAAATCCTAAGACTACCTTCCACATCCCTTCTTCTCTTGTCAAAAATTTCCTCAAGCATGCATCCCCAATGCTAAGGTTCGCAAAATTTATCCTTCGTACTCGAATATATCGGTGCATTATTCTAAAGAGATCAATTGATATATTATTTGGTAAATAACAAGTACAGGTCTGGGATAATAAAGGTAGAAGCCGTGACCAAACACTCGAGGGACACGGGCACAATGTTACCACTGTATGTGCACATCCTGAGCTGCCTATAGTAATTACCGGTTCAGAGGATGAGACTCTTCGCATATGGGATGCAAATGGTTGTGGGAGTTTGTACGGTTTTAGCATGCTCTAGAATGCAGCTTCAATTACAGCAGTCGAATGAAAATACCACCTCTATCTTTTCCAGATTTTCCAAAAGTTACCATAGGATATTACTGTTTATGTCCCTGGATTCTTTGTTATTTTGTGAATGACTCCAACGTTATGTCACGTAACAGGCTTAAGCAACTACTGAAATTTGGCCATTGAAGGATTGGGGATATTGCCTATCAGAAAGGATCTCACCGGTAACATTCATACCTGCTCTAAATGCTTTCATTTCCTTGTTATATCCATGCTTTGTCAATAATAAGCTAGTATGATGGTCTGAGGTCTTCCATTGCCACTAAAAACATTCATGTAGGCTCTGCGGTTTCAGTAAAACGATAACATCTTCCATATCCATTGTCTCACTTTTTTGTGGCTTTCACTCTGCAGGGTTGCAGTTGCTTGTGATGAGGGAATAGCCATGGTTGAGATAGTGTGCTGATAGTGTGGAGCCTTAAGCCAAATTCTATGTCAAATAAAACAGATCCCGATCTCTACAACTGTTACTTTCAATTTGAAGTTCAAATAAAAGTGCATATCGTTCTTTTGTCAAGGGAAGAAAGTGTCGCTTTGTACTAATTTATGTGTATACTGTGTCCTGCCAGTGGCAGGATTTTCCAGTGAAACCCAAAGATCTCATGCTTTCCTTTTGTGGTGTATTATGCTCCCAGTGGAATAAATGTCTCGAAGATTACCAAAATCAACGGAAAAAAGAAGGAAAATAATGGCATCTTTGGAACATGAAACTCACGAACCTGGAGTCTATATTAGTCATCCGTGGGCAAGGCATGTTTCAAGACCTCCGTACAAATAAAACGAGGAAGATACGTAACAAACAGGTTGATACTTGTAATTATGACTTGAAACAATTCCTAATCTCTAATGACTTTGAATGCTCCTGCATAACTCCTGTCAACAACCAGGTGATACTTCTTTAAGCTATCAGGGATTTGACTCGATCTATATCCTATTTATTTCCTAACACAAGTTTTAATAAATCTGTAGCACATGAAATATGAAAGTGGTTCATATCATGCTTATATTATTGAAAAAGTAGATTCATTTTGCTCACAAACGAAATCACGGATGGAATTTCGGATAGCGTCGGAAGCAACTCAAAGAGTTACTTGACATATGTTTTAGTGCCATTTAACTAGATTAATACTGAGATGAAAGCCTTTTGAAAAACTTCATCACCAGTCAAAACATTAAAGTGGAATGCCATGCTATTGCAACATTTTGAGTTATTGATGTGTAATACTAACCTTCGCAACATGATGTAAATTCATGCTAACCTGCTTCTATGAATGCCTCCGGGTTCTCTGCCTTTGCCCAAAAAGCTTTTTCACGGACCAATGTTGAACTCTCGTGGTTGTGTTTTGTCCCATAACCACGAGGATGACCAGTCCGATTCCACGAACAATCAGACACAATTTGCCAGTCTAGTTCTTCGATCCAGATCCTCGAGTACAATGTTTTGCTGTGACCAAACACAATTTTGGCGTGCACTTTTCATTTGAATTTAAACGGAAAACTAAAAAATATTGTAACAAACAGGGCCTGGTTATGCGGATTCCTCCAAAACATGGAGGCCATCAGTCATTATCTTATTTGATCCAGATAGAAGAAATGAGGGGAAGGAAACTTCTGCATAAAGGTTTATCAGAAATGAATAAAGCTGAGAACTTTGTCGCGACCTAAAATTTCTCCGGCTAATGGATTATTAAGACTAAGCCTAACTCAGGCCCTCCCAAGCCCTGCCAATTCGCAACTTAGGGTTTAAGTTTTTAACATGCAAAAGTTTTCATGCTTGGAGTCGCCACTAATCTATTTGTGGTATGTCGTTTAGAAACCTAAATAAAACATAGGGAGATATGTTTTATTCCTACGAGCCAGAGATTCTAAGCTCGGGGACTTGGTTACGCTAGATCTAGTCTAACGCCCTTTCGGTACCTTTTTTTTTCAAAAATATTTATGCAGGCAGTTTGGATACATTTTATTATCTAATCACTAACATGTAAGGTGTTCATGTGGGTGCGCAAACCACCAATTTAACACCCAAGAAAGCAGTAAATAAATAGCAGGATAACATAACTTAAAGCCACGCAAGCATCTGCATTGTTAGTAGAAAATCACATAGACAATCCTAATATGATTTTTAATTAATAAAGCAAGGCACTCAAGGTGTTCTTTAGGGTTTGCGCTTTATTAAAATGCAAACTAACCTATATGCAATGACGTGCAAAAATGACATGCGATTAATGCAACCTAGCATGCGAACTATATGTCATGCGACAACGTGACCTAATTTTAATGACGGACAAATGATTTATTTTTGGTATTTTTCCAATGAAATTCGGAATTCAAAAAAATGCCTAAATTAACATGCAATCTATTCTAAATAATTTAATCTATCCTAAAGTGACTTCTTTTTGGTATTTTTATGAAAATTCGAAATCAAGAATTACCCTAAAATGAACCATTGAGATCAGGATAATATCTAAATTAAACTAGGAAATAAATTACTCTAATTCCTAATTTAAATTAAAAAGTTATCCTATCGACTTATTCAAAGAAAGTTATTCTAAACCTATCCTAAACATGCATCATTCTTTTTGGGATTTTCGAATCAAATCAAAACAAAGATTCAAACCAAAGCCAAAGATAGCATCCAATCACCCAAGATATCATCCATATCCATTCAAATTTGGAAAATAAATTGACAAATCACATCTCGGGCATGAGGATCGGATTGGCCAATTTTCAATGCAATCGCGAATCGTATCTCGGGCGGGAGATCGGATTGACGATTTTCCGTGCAATTGCGAATCGTATCTCGGGTAGGAGATCGGATTGACGACCCTATGCATGTTGTGAAATTAGGAAAATATCCCAATTTACGGACTCCGAAAAGATTTTTGGATATGACAATGTCGACACAGCATATAATTGAGATCACAATAAACTCAAGTTAGGCAATTTAATATATCGAAATTGAATCGAATAATGTATTACCTAATTCGAAATATTGCACGGGTGACGTTTCCGAATTTGACCGACGGATGGCTTGAACTCAGTGACCGGGTGGTGAGAATATCCGCGGTTTGGCTACTTGTGGTGAACTCGGCCATGTGGTGTCTCGGCGATGCTTGGGAGTTCTTGTGAAACCTACAAAACAAGGGAGAGTCCCAGTTTGGTGAAGATACAGAGTAACGCAACAGCGACCGGCGGGATTTCGTCGGGACTGGTAAGTTTGCTGGGACCGTTCGCAGAAGTTGCTGGTCTCGGCGTTGTCACGGTGGCTTGGACTCTCGATCAGCGACGGTAAGGACTGGAAGGACGTGGCGGCTGTACAGAGCTTCTCAGACTCGCTGAAGTTGTTAGCGGAGGGCTAGAAGCAATGACGATCATGCGGCGCAACAACAGCAGGAGTCGTTGGTTTACTGGACGTGATGGAACAGGGCTACGCTTGCCAAAGTTGGTATCGTGGCAGCAAGACAAACCGATTCGTGTAGGAGCAGCAGCATGCGGCGTGGCGTGGACACGAGCTAGACACAAAACGCTGCTTGAAGTTGCCTAGAACAGGGGCAAGCTGTCACAAAGTCACTGTTCTTCGCTTGTGTATGCATTCTCCTCTATTCTTTTCTTCTTTTGGACGTGCTGCACCTCCTCTCTCTATGCTCTCACTCACGATTTTTGTTTTCTCCTCTCATATCGTGACCATCCTCTGACAATTCTTTCGCCGCCTATGTAATTGTGTGGCCTCCCTTTTTATATGTAAAACAACATAGAGCCCCCCAAGGAAAGAACGTGATGCAGCTTCCAATTGTGGATGCATTGAAATATATATATTTTTATTCTTTTCCTTCTTTTGTTATTTCTCCAAGAATCCACATCTTCTTTCCAATCCTTTCTTTCCTTTCTTTAATCCCTTTGTCCGCAAGTTTGTATCCACCAGCTTGAGTGAATCCTCTTTCCTTAATTCTTGCTCTGATAACGCTTTGCTTTCCAATTGTTTCTTGACCCAATGATTTTCATGATATTTTCTCAATATTTCCTAATCCAATGTGCCACACGCGCAACGCACATGTCAATCTTGACCACTTGAGGGAATAACGAGTTGGGCCGAATCTTTAATTCACACGGACTTGATCCAATTAATTCTATTGGGTTCAGAACCTCTGTACTTGAGTCCATTAACTCCAGTTCAATTAAATTTTGTTAAACCCATCCGCCACCAATCCGATGTAGATGCAACTACTTAATAAATGTTCTTAAAACTAAATGCTATGTAATTTAACTTTAATATTTTTGTTAGGGACTAAAATTTAATCCCTAATTTTCTGTGCAATTAATCACTAAATGGTTAGTCAAAATTTAGGTGTCAACAGCTGCCCCTCTTTGAAGGTGAGCTCGTAGAGTTTGCATTCAAAGACTAAATGATGTCTAAATTTTGACCATGCAAATGCAATGAATGATATTTTTGTTGGGATTATGAGTCCCATTTGAAAATGCAGTATATCATGATGCATGTTAACATGAATAAAACATACCTGGAGTTACTTACCTGACAAGAATGGTAGCGTAATTCGAGACATGACTCTGATCCTGTAGGTTGTTTAGCAAATGTATGGGCTCAGTCCCAAAGGTATTGCCTGATGAGCGCTGATGGACTTCGTTGACCTGTAATTCAATTAGGACACACGAAGGGTAGTTCGAATTACCTGGATATCGTCTGAGGTAATCGAAGATGGTGATCAATAGACACCTGGATATCATCTGAGGTATCTAGAAATCAAAGAATGGAAGACTACTTCGAATATCTAGATATCGTCTGAGATACTCGAAATGGACCTTCCACTGAACGCCTGGATATCGTCAGAGGCGTCCAGTGATAACATAGCGAAACGGAATTTATCCCACCTTTTGTCGAAATACCTGGATATCATCAGAGGTACTCGAGAAAATTATTCATTAGGAACCTGGATACCATCAGAGGTGCCTAATGCGGGGCTTTCTCCAATTTGCTAGAAAGGGGGCTTAATAAGGTGCCTAGTTATCATCTGAGGTACCTGAAAAGCGATTCAACAAATTGGAATACATTCCTACTTTTAACGAAATACCTGGATATCGTCAGAGGTAATCGGAAAAAGTCAACTGCTAAACACCTGGATATCGTCAGAGGTGTTCAAGAAGGAACTTTCCAAATTGTTTGAAAGGTGTGCCTCACGAAATATCTAGTTATCATCTGAGATATTTGAAAGGACTTGATCGATAAATACCCGGATATCGCCAGAGGTATTTAACAATTTGGCGAACAGAGGGGCTAGCCCAAGTGCTCAGAGATTCCTTGACAAAGTACCTGGATATCATCAGAGGTACCTGAAAAGGCTTGATCAATAGATGCCTAGATATCATCAGAGGCGTCTAGAGATCGCAACAAAATGATCAAATATGGGACCTGACAATTGCTCGAACAGGTTAGGGATACATGGATAGTCACAGATATCCAAGGGATAGAGATATACTTACTTGGTGATATCTCCGACTCTT